TAAAAAGTTTCAAATACCCCAAATTCAATATTGGGGGGGATTTACACATATTATATTAAATAGCATATATACAAAAGTGATATTTTATTGTAAGTTAGATTTATATCACAAATTTTAATGGAAAAAGGCATGTATGTGGGATACATAATGGAGTGAGGTATTTTGGCTTTGTAAGGGAATCGTTGGTCACTGTTGATGGCTTTTAAATTATATCCATCGGGAAATTTATAATAAACGTGGATTGAATTTAACACGTAGGCTTTCGCGACCAATATCATTGGTCTATTGTGGATTGAGTGTCTGTGCTAGTGGCCATGTTTTTACGTTATGTGCAACCAAAACATTATTTTGAAGACACTTCTCAAAAAAAGTTCAAACAAAAATATTACCTACTATAATGGGCCAAGAATGTCTGTGTGCAACGCGCGTGACTCTACGTCGACCAGCCCCCCTCATTAATAATCATGAGCAGGTGACGTCACTCCACATGGAGCACCCTCCCCCGTCATTAATAATCATGAGCAGGTAAAGTCCTCCAAATGGACACCCCCCCCCCCATTAATAATTAGCGGCTGACGTCACTCCACATGGGGGGCCGAGGCGCCTCCTCCCCCCTCCTCAGCGTCAACTTACAACCTTCACTACAAAGGCAGAACCCTCACGTCACGTGACCTCCGTGACGCTGTTGAGACATCAAAGTAAAAAGGACGTCATGATGAACAAGGGATTATAACCTTAAAATGAAATAAGTCTGTCATCGCGCCCTTACAAATTGCACACACATTGATGCAATTGTAGTGGGTTCCACAGAGGCGCACACTCGAACTTGGAGGCAACACGTTCATTCTTAATACAACGGGGTAACCATATAACCACTTGATGGGATAATGATATAGGGTGGTGACCACCACGGTTAGCTACATAACCGCTCAATGGAATAACTATATACTCGGACCAGGTCAGCTAACTCCCTGCCTGGTCCACGATGCCATGCGTGAAGCCCGAAGACCGAAGACGTGGCCGGCAAATTCCATTCCCAGAGACGAACAGCCAAGATCGCTCTCGTGACTTTTAAGGGCTGCGGCGTGACCACGCCCCCTTCCAGATCCTTCTCGGAGACTCTGGGCCCACATCATGTGTCCCTCTCACCTCCTCTTTGGCCCTCGTTACTACCTCATCCGGTCACGTGCCTTCTCAGGTTCACCCAGACTACCATATCCTCACCCGACCTCTCTCTCGCTGTCACCCAAAATATGCCCCCTAGGGGCCCTACCATTCCGTACTCATCTCGGTGCTAGAGAAAGACTCCACCTACAGTACCGCCCTTCTCTCGGTACTGGTGCTACGCCACAGAGACACTATACACGCCACTACACAATGAATATCACGTCGCGGTCTGCTTTTCGCTTGCACTGTAATACACCTGTCCTTGAATGGGCAAAAGGCTAGTTTACTGTATATTCGTTAAACAGGAATACTGTAATGAAGTATGAGTGTATTTCAGTGTCAGTACAATCAGCACTACTGAATGAAAGTTTCCCAACATTTATGCCATCCCTTATACGGGTAACGGAAATGTGGGCTTGGGCAGGACACATCGGTAAAAGGGATGATAGCTTATGGACGAGACTTAGAATGGCAGCCAAAGCAGAGAACATGTCCAAAATTTCCATCTGCCACAGAGATGGAGCAATACGTTTGGCTCATGTGCAGGACGATTGATTGTGACATCGCAAAACTGTATGGGATGGTGACAGCATGGGGACATTTTGAACCAGTAGTGACTAAAACTTGGCTGCCATTGCTGATAAGTGAAGGCTTAAAGCTTAAAGTACAGTAATGCCTCGGGTATGTTATACCAGGGCAGTGTGGTTAATGTTGCATAGACTAGACCAAACCACCAACTTGGGAAAATGCTGTACTTTACCACAATTATAGCATAGAGCTAAGGCCACATTGACTGTTGTTGACCATACTGGCACCAGGACATGTTTTTGATTAGGGCAAGTATCTATTTAAAGTATAGCTCAGATCATCTAAAACACTGTGGATGCAGCCAACGAAATTATAAAAATGTGAACGTACAGTACATCAGCAATTGAATTATTTAGATGTGGTTGTCATCTTCAGAGAAGCCTTCATGCCATTAAGAGTATGAATACAGCAGTTTAATGTTCATTACATAATCTTTATAATGTACAGATACTCTACTGTACTTAACAAAATTATGACGAAATAATGAGGCTCTTGAATTTGTTTTGTATTTCTCCAATACTCTGCTGTCACATGTGACATTCAACATTTTTATTTTAGAACCATTTGCAAATATGCACGTTTGGAATTTTGTTGGTAAACATTAAAGGGGAACCTACAGCATGAAGACCATGTGCACGTTAATGTCATCATTCAAACTCTTAAGAAAGCATTATGTCAGTGGGCTTGGCGAGACAAGTCGCGATGAGGGATGATTGCCGACGGTCAAGAGGAATGACCAGTGCCTGCCAAGAAATTAAACTGGTCTGAGAGTACATCCACCGAGGAGATGGAAAGGTGAAATAATCTCGTGTGCAGCTGCTCGCTGGACTGTCATGCCACTGTTACAACGGTGACGATTAACTGAACCGATCATGGGCCTCCCCTAGGTCGACTCAGCCTCAAATAAGTACCTGGTGAGTTAACATCACCACTGGGGAGACAAAGGCGTCTGGGCGTGGCTTTGGCCACCCACCCCCTCGTGTACCGTGCCGGCCTTCATAGGTTCTTGTTAACAGCACTTGCCCCAACCATCTGTACAGGTTATATTGGGGATCTTTGTCTCTTGTTACATCACAGAATCGTGAGAGATGGTGGTGGTTTGGGGAGACATTCATCTAGAAGTAGATTGACTAAGGCCGATGATGATTAAGTATTTATAAAATTACCTATTTTTTCAGATAACGTCATACTTTAGTTAACAGGTTTTTTTCAGCTACCGGTGGTGCTGGTTACACCAGCGGTGACTTGCTACTGAAAGTTATCATCATCATCATAACAACCGAAAGTGAATTAATGCATTCACAAACTAAAGTTTCCAAAACGAGTATGTAGTGGGACGCAAACAAAACCTCGATTCCAGTGTAATAGGCAACAGTTGGCCTGCACATGTGGTGGACAAACAAAAAACAACCGTTGAGTCACTTCCTGAGTGAGGTCTGTTCTACTTTTTCCCCTCTCAAAAATGTCCCTGCCCCCTTCTCTACCTCCCCCCGGGGGCTGCCCCTTCCACATCTGGTTCACCCCATCTACAAAGCCAACCAAACTCACCCCCAACCCAAGCAGCCTCCCCAACACGGTCACCCAAACTAAATTTTATCTTTAGACGTGACTTAACCGAAATAACCAAATAATAATTCCTGCAGTCACGAAAGTTCTAAAATTAAGATTAAATTCACCCAACTCAGCCCAGCCACCCAACCCAACCAGCCCCACCCCCCAACACAGCCACCCAAATGAAATTCACCCAACTCAGCACAACCACCCAACCCAACCAGCCCCACCCCCCAACACAGCCACCCAAACTAAATTCACCCAACTCAGCCCAGCAACCCAACCCAACCAGTCCCACCCCCATCACAGCCACCCAAACTAAACTCACCAAACCCAGCCCAGCCACCCAACCCAACCAGTCCCACCCCCCAACACAGCCACCCAAACTAAACTCACCAAACCCAGCCCAGCCACCCAACCCAACCAGCCCACCCCCCAACACAGCCACCCAAACTAAACTCACCAAACCCAGTCCAGCCATCCAATCCAACCAGTCCCACCCCCCAACACAGCCACCCAAACTAAACTCACCAAACCCAGCCCAGCCACCCAACCCAACCAGCCCACCCCCCAACACAGCCACCCAAACTAAACTCACCAAACCCAGCCCAGCCACCCAACTCAACCAGTCCCACCCCCCAACACCGCCACCCAAACTAAACTCACCAAACCCAGCCCAGCCACCCAACCCAACCAGCCCACCCCCCAACACAGCCACCCAAACTAAATTCACCCAACTCAGCCCAGCAACCCAACCCAACCAGTCCCACCCCCATCACAGCCACCCAAACTAAACTCACCAAACCCAGCCCAGCCACCCAACCCAACCAGTCCCACCCCCCAACACAGCCACCCAAACTAAACTCACCAAACCCAGCCCAGCCACCCAACCCAACCAGCCCACCCCCCAACACAGCCACCCAAACTAAACTCACCAAACCCAGCCCAGCCACCCAACCCAACCAGTCCCACCCCCCAACACAGCCACCCAAACTAAACTCACCAAACCCAGCCCAGCCACCCAACCCAACCAGCCCACCCCCCAACACAGCCACCCAAACTAAACTCACCAAACCCAGCCCAGCCACCCAACCCAAGCTGCCCTTCCATCACAGCCACCCAAACTAAACTCACCAAACCCAGTCCAGCCATCCAATCCAACCAGTTCCACCCCCCAACACAGCCACCCAAACTAAACTCACCAAACCCAGCCCAGCCACCCAACCCAACCAGCCCCCCCCCCAACACAGCCACCCAAACTAAACTCACCAAACCCAGCCCAGCCACCCAACCCAACCAGTCCCACCCCCCAACACAGCCACCCAAACTAAACTCACCAAACCCAGCCCAGCCACCCAACCCAACCAGCCCACCCCCCAACACAGCCACCCAAACTAAACTCACCAAACCCAGCCCAGCCACCCAACCCAAGCTGCCCTTCCATCACAGCCACCCAAACTAAACTCACCAAACCCAGCCCAGCCACCCAACCCAACCAGCCCCACCCCCCAACACAGCCACCCAAACTAAACTCACCAAACCCAGCCCAGCCATCCAACCCAACCAGTCCCACCCCCCAACACAGCCACCCAAACTAAACTCACCAAACCCAGTCCAGCCATCCAATCCAACCAGTCCCACCCCCATCACAGCCACCCAAAATAAATTCACCAAACCCAGCCCAGTCACCCAACCCAAGCTGCCCTTCCATCACAGCCACCCACGCCACCAACCAACCAACAGCACATCACACAGCAAGCCAGCCAGCCAGTAGACGTGAAACGCCAGAGTGGCTTGAATTACTACACACGTGTCGGTGAATTTGTCGACTCAAGTACAGTACCGTAAGTCGGTAGTGGTGGAAGTAAATTGTCGAGGAAAGTTAATAGGGGCAGTTATTATTATCACCGACGCTGTGCTCGTGAGGTCGGGTATTTTTTTTTTGCGATAAAGGAAAGAGGGGAGGAGGAGGTTGGGAGGGGGCTATGTAATGTAGTAGGGGTGGAAAGTTGGCCAGCAATTGTGTGCCCCATACAGTAAGCACATAGTAGCCGTGTACAGCAACAACAACTCGTGGCTGTGATGGAGCCAACCTCAAACGTGAGTATGGAGTTCGTATCCCTTTACAGAACCAATGCCCTGTCTGTGCGATGTGTGGGGTGCGTTGCGTGCGTGGTTTCTTTTTTTAAATTGAGCTCTGTCCCCCCATCGCTTTTGAGGCAAGAGGCCGCAAGGTTTTAGTTGTGTGGGCCTCGTAGTTAAGCTTCGCTGCACAAGACATCGCAGTACATTTACAGCGTGAGCACGGCGCGATGTGTGTACATTGTTGTTGTTGTTGTAGTAAAGTTTCGCAGCAATGTCTTGCACATTAACCGGCCCGCAGTATTTATCGCCGCGTTGTGTTCACGTCAAGGCGTCGTTATTACTCCGGCAGCTGCCGTGCACATTTTGGTGTCCAAGATTAATGGTATTTATTATTGTAGCAAATGTCACGCCTTGCATTATTCATACATCAAGCCCCTAAGCATGCCGTGCTGTTTGTTGATGGTACGAGAGTCGTTTTTGTTTGTTTGTTAGGCTTGTTGTTTTTATTATTACGATTATATTTCAAATCTTGACTTGAAGCTTTCGTGACTGCAGGTATTCATATTCTTTGGGTCTTTCGGTAAAGTCGCTTAGGTTCGAAACGTAGTTTTGTTATTTGTTGGTATGTTCTTTTAACTTATTTACGCGGCTTTACCGAAAGACCAAAATAAAACGAAAGTATACATGTTATTCCACTCTCCTACACAATGTACATGCAGTGTGCATGGAGATATTTCCGCCACGACTTTGTAGTATATCGACTCTCATCGGCTATATAGAGCCTTGGCACGTATTTATATCAGGGAGGGAGAGAGGCTTTGTAAACAATGTGCAATCGATGGCACATTCATGTTTAGAGAGGAGGCCCCACCACTGCGTGGCTTTCTTTACACTTTAGCTGGCAACCAAACTGTGTGACCTGCCCCTGCTTTGCTCGCGGAGTCGCTGTGGTGTGGCATGGAAATTGGGGCACACCGGGTTCGAGATTCTTCAAATTGCTTGTTGTTGGAAGCTGCAGGGGAGGAGGTGGAAGAGAGATTGCCACGTGGGGGGGGGATCCAGGGTAGCTCGTAATTGTCGGCATTCTCCAGTTTTAAACCCAACGAGAGCATTTTCCAGCCGTAAATGACTGCGTCTCATTTTCCTTGGCACGAATTTCCATCTAGTTATCATCGGGAGGGCTTTTGTTTTTTTTCCATCGACCGGAGCTGGGACTATGTTTTTGTGGACCACACATGGATGTACTGTATATATACACTTGTTTTTATCATTACATATACTGCTTGTTATTGCCATGATGGTTGGATGTTTCGCTTACAAATTCAAAATTTTAATGTATTTATCCGAGTTCTTTATTCTAGATTTGAAGTTTTCGTGATTTGCAGGGATCCATACTCTTTGGTTCTTTCGGTAAATTCACGTTGGTATAAAATAAAATAACCCTCGTGATTTAATTTATTTTATACCTACGTGACTTTACCGAAAGAACCAAAGAGTAGAGTTCTTTATTGTTGGTGAAGTGTGGCACCCCCCCCCCCCCCACGTGACCTGGCAGCGTTCGGTTGGTCGGGTTCCCTTTGCAAGTTTGCCCTCTTTACATTGACAGCACCGTGATGACATTTATCCTCTCGTTTCACAAGTACTGTACTGTATAAGGATGTGGTGAAAGTAAAAGAACAGGTTGCGTATCTTCCCCACGCCCATTAGTAGAAGTACAGAACGGATTTGTCCTGCACTGTTTATTCATTAGCTTCGCAATGCTTGCTAGAGCAAATTGAAACTGCATCATGCTAATGAAAAAAACATTAGGTTTAGAAGAGAATGTCTGTTGATCTAATTCACTGCCAGGCGTCGAGTAAACACACTTAAATAGTCCAAGTGAAGTTTTCCAGCCGAGCTTTATTGACCTGACCGCCTGTCTGCCTCTGTTAATCCTCAAACTCCGGGAACGCCCTCCCACATGCTGTCTCTGTCTTTCCACGTCTAATTTGTGTATCCCCTCCTCTGTGATGTCAGTCAACAAGCTTGGACAGTAGACCGACAACGCTCAGCATGGGTGAAGTCGTGTCAACCAACACACCTGCAGTGTCCACAAGTAAATGCAAGTAAACTCCTTCCAAACCTGTTTAGTTTTCTTGCTCGCGCTGACTTGACCTAACTCGACAGTAATGAGATATATCGTCCAAAAAGTCAACAACGCAACAGCTGGCAACAGCTGGCCACAAAAGGCAGCCAGGGACATTGAGGTTGGCTGAGCATCAGACAATGCTTGCTTGTGAAGTTGCGTTGAATATCGGGATAAGCTATGGGAATGTGATGCTTTGTCGTGGCCCTTAAAATATGTACAACATAAGTCTTAAGCATGCACTATAATAATTGTCAGCCCATAATCCACTGCTGGATGGAGGCCATCCCATGCCAAATCGGTTATGGGGTTGGTCAGTGTGGGTTGGTGAAGGGGGGGTAGAGTGGGGAGCGGTAGTGTAGCGGTTAGCGCGCTGCGCTATGAACCTGGCGACCTGAGTTTAATTCCTGCTCACGGCCAACACCAGTAATGATTATCTGAACCGGTTTTGGGCCTCTTCTAGGTCGACTCAGCCTCAAATGGGTACCTGGTGTGGTGCGTAAACATCGCCACTAGGGAGACAAAGGCGGCTGGGTGTGGTCGCTGGTCATCCACCCCCTCGTGTGCCGTTCCGGCCTTCATAGGTGCTCGCTAACAGCACTTGCCACAACAGTCTGTTAAGGCTATACAGGGGATCTTTGTTTTGTGGAGACCCAGAAGTGGTTCAGTTATAAATGACGTTGGCAATGGTTTGGAATCAAATTCCGGTTACTTGGTTCATAGTGCAGTGCTTCAACCACTGCACCCACTTCTGCAACCACTGCTCCATCCTGAATTTTGCAATACGTGGCATAAAATTGTGAGGCTCTCCTGGCCAGTCTTGAGTCTTGACAACTTTTGTGATCTAAAAAAAAGGGGGCATGCCTCCAGTGGGCATCTAAGGGGCTTTGATGGTACTTTATTCCCAATCATCCAGAGAGAGAGTTATTTGTCAGTGGCTGTTCCCGTAACGTACACACCACACATACACCGAGTCTCAAAATAAACTAAGCGATTGTCGGAGTGTCCCGTGTGGAATTTGTTTTATTTTATTTTTTAAAGCTCACATTTTTCACGAAAAAAATCAACAGCCAATGTGTCGACAGTGTTGAGTATCCTTGGGACTTGGTGCTGCCATTCATCTCTCTGTAACCCCCGTTTTTCATTGTGCATCTTGTGTTTCATGCAGGCCCCACGGCAAGAGGCACAGATGATGTGGTTTTGGCAGGTGAGACAACACGTATATTTCTGCCTGTATTACTGTCAAGGGCAGTGTCCTCAAAATGTCAACGTAACAGCTCCCTATTTTTATATCTTCAAGACAATCATAGGATGCAACTACACTTGATATTTTCACAGTTGTGTTCTTGACATTATTTGTTTTTATTCGTCTGATATTTAGCAAAATGGTACAGTAGAGTGTCTGCTGTGTAAAGGTGGGGTCCTATGTACAGTTAAACGATGTATATAAACTGTTTCGCATATGGGTACACACCCTAAATAGACAGTATATGGTGTATTTAAGGAATATAGAATATTGGTGTTTGTCGGAAAATTCCACTTTGCAGTTGACTTTTTTTTAATCAGATATGGCCATTGGATAGACCTGCACAAGTACAGTAGGTTGATTGATTGAACAGGATGTTAGGCCACTGTGGAAAGACCATGTATCTAAGGCTACGTAGGTAGTGAATACAGCACTGGTTACCAATTTTAAGTTACCCCCATAAGTACCATCCCATTTTTAACACCATTTTCACAGATAACACGGGCTTGAATTACAAAAAAACATAATTTCCATCGGAGTAATTACAGAAATAAACAAATCTTTTCCAAGAGCTGAAAGTTTTCCAATTTTATAACATGATAATTAATAACCTTATTTTTACCCCATGTAATTTTTTTACACTCTAAGAAAAAAATGTACAATGATTTATGATGTGAGTGGATGAAACATGCCAGTTTGGTGTTTATTCCATTGTGTATAATTAGATAGTTGAGGGTGAGAGAACAAAAACACATTTATGCATGGGTTTACAAATTTCCCAAGGCAGGTTTGACCATGTTTCTCCATGTGCAAATACCTTCTGTAGAATAGTAACACATTTCAGATTCGGAGAAGATGTAAAGCGGTCTGCTTTAGCAAATTTATTTTAGATTATCTTGGCGTACTGCTTACAAATTATGGACTGATATGACATACTTTTTTATGAAAACTTCATATATCTGTCCATGTGTAGGACCTTATGTTAAAATTAATAATAAATGGGAGCTGTGATGTATCTGCTGGATTATAGAATGCAGTATGCAGTACAAAATATAAAACGCAATTGGGGCAGCTGGTTAGTTTGATCGAATACTAAAGAGTGTACATTTCTAGTGACATAAATGGGGTCACTATAGCGGTTAGTGCCAGCTACTGCCACAAGAGTGGAGCTGTGTGTCTTGGATCGCTCTCTGGCACCAGAGTGGGTATGCCATGGAAGCAGGCCCTCGGGGGCATAGTTCTGGTGACAGTGAGAGAGAGGTTGAGTGAGGACATGACAGTCTGGGTGACCCCGAGAGGGCACGTGACTGGACGAGGTGGCAAGGGGGGCCTAAAAGGGGTGGAGAGAGGGACACGTGATGTAGGGGCCCGAGCCTTCGGGAAGGATCTGGAAGGGGTTGTGGCCAAGGGCGGAGCCCGGCCATGCCACACCTGTAAAGGCCTGAGTCCCAAGCCCCGATTGGGGCTGTTCTCTGGAATCAAACCGCGGTGCTACGTCTCTCCGATCTTCGGTCTTCGCTCGGCATCGTGGGTCAGTCAGAATGTTACCGACTGACATGGTTATGTAGTTGCCCCGTTGTGGCTTAGTAAATACTCAAGTTGGCTATCACCGATGTTGTTAATTTGCACGTTTATGTAGTTACCCGGTTGGGGTGTTGGAATAAACGTGTTGCCTCAAAGTCAAGTTTGTGCCTCCGTGAAGAACACTACACATCTACTAAATTGTCACAATTATATTGATGGCTTCTTTTATACCAATTATGTTCACCGACGTTTAGGTGCTCGTATTAAATTATAGTAAATATACAGTACGTATATTTCTAAAAGTTTCTGAAACACCTTAAATATTGAAATTGTCTACAACTTAAACAGTACTGCATTTTAAAATAGAAGACATTGTATCGTCTTTTGAGCTAACAATGGGTGGTGTTTACAAATCAGTTGCCTAATTATAGTCACAATAGTGTTTGATAATTGATAAATTGATTGAACAAAATTATTCGGGTCAACTAAATCTTGCTTTTGCATAACCATGTTTAACTTTAGGCAATATAACTCGAATACAACTTGGGCACAACAGAAGACTGCTCATCCATGACTCGTCTTGGTGTCAATTTCCTTTAAGTATGCAAGCAGGATTAATGGGGGTGGGCTGGTATCACTACTGTGGAGTTTATGGGGAGTTGTTACCAGTGCAGAGTTGGAAGTCACCTCTGAATTCTGTCATTGGTAGGCTTCATTGTGTGTGCCTAGCCCTGCTTACAATAAGATTTTCTCTTTGCAGTTGTGGTCGTGGTGACTGTGATCGTCATCCTGTGCCTGCTGGGTGTAGTTTTGTCCTACTTCCTACGGCACAAGGGTACCTACCGCACGCAGGAGGGCAAGTTCCAGCCTGGCCATGGGCAAGGCACAGCACTGCAAGCGGTAGAGGACAACTGTGAGGGACTGGAAGAAAATATGAAGGAGTACTTTCTGTGACGATCACATTGGTGGCCAAGCCTTGAATGGCATTTGAAAACTATAAGGCGCTCTATTGTTTGTGACCTTTATTAAATATGCTACCCGCATACATTTTCAAACTGAAGGGTGTGGGGAGGGCGGAGTGGTTTCTATACTTGTGATGTTTTTTTTTATGTATTTCCAATTAACTTAAAATGTAGGTTTTCTGCATCTTTGAAGATGCACATTTTTGACGTTTTATAAAATCGGGTGTTTTCAAATAATTTAGTAACAACCGTGTTCAGTTTAACGTTTTGTGTAAAACTGAACGGCCTTATTTATAGACTTCGTTCGGCATTTGCTTATTTCTACGAATGTTTTTCCTCTAATAAAGCATCGTTGTTAAAGTACAATGAACAGTCTATATGACACAGTTTAACGCATAATAAATGGTATTGTATTTGGAAAGCGATTTTACTGGCCCAGTGTCCTTGCTCATCAACATGTCTGTACGTGCCATTCCTCTTGGACGCAGCCATAAGCAGATATCGTTAAAAGTAAAGAAATGTAATGTTAAACACATTCGTTGAGCTATTGAGTGATAGAAACCACATTGCAGTGCAGCCTTTATAAGCAACTGCGAGGCTGTTGGAGAAGGCATTCAGCCAAATTGAGTGCAAGTTTGTGTCATGTTGAAGGTGCTGTGAACTAGTTGCTAAATCTTGACTTAAAGCTTTCGTGACTGCAGGAATTCATATTCTTTGGGTCTTTTGGTAAAGCCACATAGATGGAAAGAAAAAAACGTTTATTTTTATGAATAATATTTTTTTTCTTATATTATTTGTTCTATATACGTGGCTTTTCCGAAAGACCCAAAGAACTAGTTAGTTTCAGTAATTGGTTTGGAAAAGGCTTGTTTTAAAGGCAAATTCGCATGATTAGCCGCAGTTTATTTTATAAAAAGCCATGATTTTAAAGTCTTTATATACATGAGAATAGGTTTTCCCCTTTTTTCTGGCAACAAACAGGTATTAAGATGTTTAAACACCAAACTGAAACCTTTTACAAGGAATCATATTTGCATTAACCACGATACTCGTGGTCAGAATGCAAAAAAAACACTGATAATATATGCATTGTCTTTGAAACTGATTCGTCCACAAAAGAAAGCTGTCTCTGATTTGGACCAATCAGTTTCAAAGACAATGCGTTTATTAAACTTGATTTGGAGCTTTTGTGACTGTAGGAATTACTTTTTGGTTCTTTCGGTAAAGTCACGTAGAAAGAAAATAAATGAAATAAGCGTCTATTCTATGATTTAACTTATTTTCTTTCTACGTGACTTTACCGAAAGAGCCAAAAAGTAATGCATATATTATCAGAGGTTTTTTTTGTTTGCATTCTGACCACAAGTATTGTGGTTAATGCAGACATGATTCCTTGTAAAAGGTTTAGGTTTGGTGTTTTAACATCTTAACACCTGTTGCCAGACAAAAGGGAAAGCCTATTCGTTTACAGTTCTATTTTAATGAAAACGTACATAAAAAAATGACACCAAAGGTAAATAAAAACTTCGTTCTGAAGAATGCAAAAGGTTTTGTCTATCTTTTATTAATAATGTAGTGTACTTTTTTCAATTTGCAGCTTCCCATATTGTTGAAACACCATTAATTAAATAAAGGTTACAAAAAGCATTAATTTCTAAACAAAACTAGTACTCACGAAAAATACGTTCCCTTCTAAAATAATGTAATGGTTCATCTAGCGGTTCTAGCCACTAAACTGTCATCAACTCCAGCAGCAACAAGATGATTTTGGGACTCAGTGGAGCCTTTTCGATTTAAAGCTTTCATGACTGCAGGGATTCATCTTCTTGGTTCTTTCGGTAAAGTCACGTAGAATGGAAATAATAAAATAAAACAAAATAATTCTCACGACGTTTCGACCACAACGCAAGCAGCCGTCAGGTGAAGGTCAGGTCTGTCGGGAAGACAACGTTGTGGCCGAAACGTGATAATTGTATTTTATTATGTTTTATTTTATTATTTCCATTCTACGTGACTTTACCGAAATAACCAAGAAGATCAGTGGAGCCTTGTTATATGCATCCCCTTTCCAACCAAACTACGAGTTGTTGACAGTTCGACAGTGCCATTTCACCACCATAAAAAGTTACGCCATATAAAAATGGTTTTCTAATTAAACCTAACCCCATCTTTTGTAATGCTTGACACAGGTCTGCTGAAAATGCTCCTGTGAATTATTCCAGCTGGTGGGTCAATCGTGGTCTGAACTCTAAATTCCCACAGATGCTGAGCCATCTGTAGTTGCAGCCCTAAGCAAAAAAAAGGACTGCAATCCAAGGTGAGCAATGTTGATAGAAGAGCATTTATTAGGTCCCAAAGCCCTATGTATGCGATTAAAAAAAGTAATCCCAAGATTACTCTAATTCCTTTATCTTGTTACACAGTTCTCCCCTGTTGACTTTATTCAACTGGGAAAAGCTGCAAATTTGCCATGAAATTCTGTTACACAGGGTAGATTGGAACTTTGAAGCAAGCTTAACATTGTGTCAACAGACAGTGCTGAAAGGTATAGGTTAACTTTTCCATTTATCTGAGCAATTCTACAGTTCTGATGTGTGTTTGGTTTGTACCGCATGTTTGGCATGATTTACAAAGTTTTTCAACTATTGGGAGTTTCGGGTACTGAAAAAATCTCTGCATGTGGAGCAAAACATCGTTTTAAAAACTGAAGAAACTCCCAGAACGTGGAATGAAACGTCGGACATGCCAAAACCAGTGTGATAGAACCCAAACACTGGAGTGCTGTACAGTACAGCACGACCGCAAAAACCTACCCAGCAAAACATTCTACAATTCCTAGGTTGCGTTGATAATGTACCTCTTTGCAGAACGTAAATGCTGCCAGCGTGGTTTGTTTACAACCACAATTGCTTTGTTGATATAGCAACTGCCGTTTAAGCATCTTTTCTTAGCCTTTGTTTAGTCTGATTTAATTCAGCTGTAAAATGCAAGCTGCTCGATAAACCAATTGCACCTTATATAGATGTGTGCACAAGTTTGGTGTGCACTCATACAACTTCACGTAACAGCAGTGCTGCCCAGCAAACAACCACCCACATTGTTGAGGACCAACGCTCATGAAGATGGCTAGAAGTGGAATTGGAAGGTTGATTGTTCTTAAAAGATGTGACAAAGCGTTTGAACGATTTGGATTTTGGCTTGTGATGGCAAACGCAAGAATAATGTAGGCTGAATCGCCCTTCATTACAACTTCTCTGTCGGCCATCCCCATGCCATCCAGTAACTCCCCAGCTAATGCCACGTGGCCCATGAGAGGAATTGGTATGAAGGAGAAAATGTATTTAAATAAACAGGGAATTCTCGGTGACGGGAAGGGTTGTCACAAGGTGTCCATCAATACCATCCCTGCAGTTTTAGGATATTGTGTTGAGGCTGTGTCCACCCTTTATATTATAATGCATGTTTATTTATTTTGAAATACAGTCATGAGTCAGATTTGACCTTGAGATGAATATATGAACCTTATGGCGGGACCCCGGGGTCCCGAATAAACGGAAGTCAAAATCGTAATTAGTAAATGTATTTTTGGCGACTCCGTCCCACCGCGCACATGAACGCAGCGACCCACCTGACGCGGATCATTCTGTTGTCGTGTCGTCCAAGCGCAGCAGCGAGGACGAATGCGCAGAAGAAACAAAACTTTGAACCTTTGATTAACGCATCGTGTAGAGCTCGTCCAGAGGAATATATTGCTGTATCGTTCGTCTTCAGCAGGCATAAAATGACGTCGCAACGCAGTTTATGCGAGACCCCGGGGTCCCGCCACTAAGGTTCATATCTGCAAGGCCTAATACTGCAATATACATCAGTTATTTTTGCAATATATTAAAAAAATAACATGATTATAATGCAGTATACTTTTTTAATACAAATGTAATATATATTTTAATGTGATGTATGTATACATTTGCATGCATACGCTGTGTATATTCAAACTATCCAGAACATTGGAATGATATAGTAAATAATCAAATACTGTATTGAAAATCAATGTGAAATTGCATGCATTTTCTAAGGAGTGAATTGGAATGACTGAAATGTTTGGATTTAACCGAGAAAAGTCGCACGTGGCTTGAGTTGGTGTGGCCAGGCACCTTGGGCATGTCATTTATTCGGGATGTAACAAAGCATTCATTGACTAATACCAATCCGTAAACCCATGATACATTAATTAGGGTTAGGGTTAGGGTGTGTATGAATCAATACTTTTAAATTCCTATTTGTTGCTTGTAGTGAGTTCGCATGACCCAGCTAAGCCACTAAAGCTCCACAACTACATTCACCACAATCTAAAAAACTATCAAATCACCACCCTGATTATCGTGACAATTCATTGAATCACTGGGGTGAGTGCAGGAGGTGATTCGTTAAACGCACGTTATGTTTGGATGCAGCACAATGTCAAGCCCGAGCCAATTCACAGGAGCAGAGGTTGACAATCTAACCCTACAATGTGCCATAGCTGAAGGATGGTGCGGACAAGGCGCACCGGGTTACTTGCTATATACATAGCCTAGTGTACACATTATTCACAGTTTGGACAACCCAAGTGTAGGGGGCAACGTAGAAGATACAGATCCTAGGGTAAGGGGCCAGACTATAGGTGTGTTCTGAATGGTCTCAGAAAATCAACAGTGCGATTAAACAAACACGTGACTTTATCCTCGGTAATGGCTGTATTCTATACCAATTGAATATTTGGACACAGAAATACACAGTAGAAATATTCAAGTGCTCTGCACTTGTAGTCAATACAGTGGAATCCTCAAGCTGCTCTGAAGCATTACACGTATAAGTACTGTGTAATATAGCATTACATGATCACACTATACGCGTGAAGAGTTACCTCTTTTTATTAATGTTCCATTAAGTCAAAAAACGGACGAAGAAAGCAAGTTTACAACATTTTTACAATTATTTACAATCCTTACCGCACATGAAACGTCACCCACCTTTCATTTAACAAATGTTAATCGTTGACACTTAAATGCAGTTCACATTAGCGTTGTTTTTACCACTGAAAACATTTTTTTAATCTTTAAATTATTTTTTTCAGAATACATTTTTGTAAACATAAATTGATATACAATACTGTACTTAGAAAAATTATATCAGTATTTTTAAATGCATTTAATGTTTATTATTATTTTATAAGGGATAATTGATTATTACACGAATGTTATGACAAAAAATAATGGTTTACCCTTTGTAAAACTACAAATACTAAAAAAAACTAATATTTTAACAAAGCCATTAATATTTTGGATCAAACCAATTAAAATATGGCGACATTGATGGTAACATCCCATTGACTAATCTTATTTGTATACGCAAGGCGTGATGTGGTTACATTTGTAATTTTTGTTGTTGAATGTATTTAACACAGACAACAAAACAAATATTGCACTTTGTTGCTGCTTCCACATTTATTGTGATTGGATTTTCAGCATAGTCTAGTGTGCCAATCAATGCAATATGAACGCAGACAAGAATAGACTTTCCATGTTGAGCTCACATACAATAGCCACACCGCTATAAAACTCTTTGCCAAACAAAACTCAAGCTACATTCATGATCAGCCTTGTAATGCTAAAGCAGTGAGCTCCATATTGTCTCAGCGATTCACAAGTGTGCACCATTACTCCCCAGAGTCTGGCTGCACAAGCCAAGAAAATACATTTTAATTTGCCATTCAGACATGATTCCCGGCACATTAAATGCCAATACTAATTCTCGGAGATGGGTTTAATTATAGAGGCTGCAGAGAACCCTTCAGTTGTTTTTTTCTGATGTTCACCATTAGCTCATCCTCGGTTGTCAATGTGTTATTTATGTCACCTAATAGATTGCACATGACCGATGTGTAAGAGAAATGGTACCATAGAGGATTATGTACACATTAGATTTTGTGGTCAAAATATGTGTTTATCAAGTGCTCATGATTATGTATGTATACAAACATAAGATTGTTATGCAGTGTTTTACAATTTTAAAATAACACATTCTATTTGCAATTAATTCTATCTTGCACAATTAACACAATAAATTAAGGTACTTATTTATCCAGGAAAACCTCACTGAGTCTTGGTAATCATTTTTATTAGAGTCCTGCATTGGGGTTTCTGTCCAATTTTTGTATAAGTATTCTGTACTTGAAAGGAAACTGGAGAAAACCCACACACATGGGGGAATAACACTCAAAGTTCTTTGCAGATGGGTTCACAAACCCACTTCATGTACAGGACTGCCATCTCGCAAACAGGGGTTGGTGGAAAACCAACCCCCGTCGAATTGGCTGTCGAACACTTGCTGACATTTGGGCTACGCCCATTTCAAACCCTAATAAACAGTTTGCCTTGGAAGCTCACCCCCCCCCCCCCCCCCTTCTGAAGACGACCGTTTGTTTTGCGATCGCAACGTTGTAGTTTTTTGTTATTTTCTTTGAACCTATCTACGTGACTTTACCGAAAGACCCAAGAATAAGGGGGATTGGGAGTTTCACAAATCTATATGACCCACCAACCCTCGCCTTCAAAGTGCTGGATTATAGGCGTGTGCCACAACGCCCGGCTAACATCAACACAAGCAGTTTCATAATTGTATCCTGGAACATTTAGCCATATTTTAAATCATCATATACATGTGATAATGTGAATACATTGTAACATTTTCACCATATTGTTTTAGGCTTATATCACAATATTGGAACAATATTATTTCACCTGCTATAATGAAGATTTAGCTGCGTAAGCAGAATTAAAACATTAACCATTAAAAGGGAACAAAATCTGAATTTAAAATACATACAAAACTACTGGCCAGCAACAGTTAATGCCATGGGAACTGTATATTTTGAGGAAATAAAAAATATGGGAAAATTGGACAATGGGTTCACAACATTTGAAAGGGTCTCGAAGGAAAACACCAGGGACACGTTTGAAGACACCAGTCTGTGATCTCAACATCCGGCAACTACGGGTGACTTAGTGCATTCACCCGGGCCATCCCCGTAAACAATATTCTCGACAAATGCGCGTCAAAGCATCTCGTTGCTGTCCCTATTCTGTTAAATGAAGTACTCCTTCCTGGTGTCCTCCAGGCCATGGTGGAAGTTCTGGTGGACACCCTGCATGGCCGAGGAGCTCTCAACGACCTCCGGCCCCCGCACGGCTGAGCGATAGCAGCCTTTGCGCCCGACGATGTAGCGCGCCACGAGCGCCAGCAAGCAGAGGATGATCACAATTGAGACCGCAATCACTCCTTTAAAAAAGATGCACACAAACACGTACAACGTGAGAAACCACAAACTATAAATACAAAATACTTGCATACTCTGTGGTTCTTTCGGTAAAGTCACGTAGGTATAAAATAAATTAAATCACGACGTTTCGAGCGCAACACAAGCATCCGTCATCAGGTGGGACAACCGAAAGAACCAAAGAGTATGGATCCCTGCAGTCATGAAAACTTCAAATCTAGACAAAACACTTGCTTGTGGCTGAAACGATTAGTTAATTTACGTGGATTAAGCGACTAAAATTGTATTCAGCTAAAATTTTTATGGTAGATTACTCAGGGATCTCTAAAAAAATCACAGCCGCCCCAACCTCCTGCCTCTTAAAGGTGGGAAACGACCCTAAAAGCTACACCCAGAATGACGGGGCTGATGATGTCACAGAGCCCCGCTCATCACCTCCCATCCAGTGGCACACATGGTAGCAAAAACGTCGAAGACGAGACATTTTCCTCAACTATCTTAGTGTTGAGGAATCAAACTGATAATCGGTAGAGTTAGGAGTTACTTAAATAATATAATCGAGTCGCCCAGCTCTAGTTTCAACACTTACTCTGATGAGTGTGTATTCTGATGAAAATCTCTTTTAAATTGTTGATTAAATTAATAGATGGAATTTAAGGCTTAATTTTGCACACATTGTTGTATATTCAAGAAACAGTCAACAGCCATCTACCTCCAATGAGAGCTGAGTTGCTTCCGACTGGACTACTCATAGGTTTCCTTTCTTCTGGTGGCATTTCAGAAGAGTCGTCTGCAGAGCCAGAGAGGGACACATTACTCCGTCCCACAACAACAACAACATGAGCCAGGACTAAACGCAATAACTGTGAGTTGTGGAATCTGGGCGTTCGTTAAGGCTACTCAGGAAACATCTCTCATGGGACCTGAAGTGCAACAACAACAATCTGACACGACGAAGGAATCTATAAATATTAAAAGATATTGAAAATTAACAGGTTGCCAGCTGTGCCTATTATTAAGAGCCATTTTCGCTTATGAATCACAGTCTTCTTTGTGGCTTTAAATTGTACGAATTTGGAAGGAAAATACAAAAACACATGCATATGTTGGATGGATGATAGCCAGAACTGCTCATTAGCACTGTTAAAATGTGAATGAACGTTCTGCATGTGTAGTTCATGGAAACAAAAACTAAATTTTGCTGTCGCTACATGGTCAAAATTAAAGTAATGCACTTGAGGCATGAGTGTGAATTTACTTTCCAGAAATGAATTCGACGATTATGTTTATTGTGCAACATTTGAATCAAAACATTAACATGTCTACTTAGGACCATTATATTTGCAGAAACAAAAGAGAGGTGGCATACCAAGGGCTGGATTACGTTTGATGGGGGCCCCTCTTTGTATACAGTTTTGAATAAATGTGTATTGTTTTACCACCACCCACATCCAATGCAAAACATCTTATTGTTATTTATCTCTTATTTTCAGTTGTAGTTTGTGATGTGATACACAAGCTATAATTTTAAATCTATGTTAATATTAAGAAAAACTTCATATTTTGGCGCATAATACATAGTCAAGCTATGGCTTTTATTACCAAATTAACCACAGATTTATCATAGTGATACAGTATTGCATTTCAACATTTCTGAAGCCGTCTACATTTTTGGCAGCCCCTCAAAATCGGAGTTCCTGGACCGCAGCCTCTAAAGCCCCCCGTGTTAATCCGGCCTTGGGCGTACCCGGGAAGATCCAGGGCTCTGTGCTGGTCGCCGCCGGGGTGATAGTGGAGGCCGGCACTGCGCAGCTCGATTCGATCAGTCGCCCGTGGACGACTACGGGCGAGCTGGAGGGTGACAATGGGATGGAGGACGTGGAATGGAAGGGCGCTCCCTGCTGCATCAGAGCAGCCTTGAGTGGCGCCACGCGGTTGAACTGCACGCGGGAGAGGCAGCCGACGAACCCGTGCAAATTTGCCCGTTGCAGCTCGCTGTCTCGCACCTCCGAGTCTGCGAGCGGACGGTGAAAAATATGAAACGATGCCCCGTTAAAAAACATTTTTTGTAAAAGTTAAAAGTGCAGCCTTACAATTGCTTGCTCGCATGACTGCTGGTGGAAGGACCTCCACACAGGGAGCTCTAGAGAACCACTCTATAGGGTATTTTAGCCTACTCTTCCACACTCGCCAAACATATTGGAAGATGTATAAATACACTTTACCCCACAAAATATGAACTGGCGATCGACTAACTGTGGTGTACCCATTTGTGCTGCTGGGCAGACAGAAGGCAGGGGTATTTAAGAAACGTATTGACTGCCACTCCAGGACAACTGAGACCGCTGGATCGCAAGCAGCCCGAAGAAGACGACCACTACATCACCTCTGATTAGCACGCTTAGCTGTGTACGGTGCGAAAGAAGGTCAACATACTATGGGGACCTCATTTGCCAGTAAAAATATGATAATTGGTTCTTTACCCTTCTATCTGGCAACAAAACTGACACCTTTTTGCAAGGAGTCATGTTTGCATAGACCGCAATACCTGCAGTCATAAATACAAACAAAAGACATAACTCTGATAATGTGCACATTATCAGAGTTATGTCTTTTGTTTGTATTTATGACTGCAGGTATTGCGGTCTATGCAAACATGACTCCTTGCAAAAAGGTGTCAGTTTTGTTGCCAGATAGAAGGGTAAAGAACCAATTATCAAGGTCAACATAGTTCATACATGGCGGCATTCATTTACAAAAATAAAGCTACCTGAAAACATCTTGAGATTTGTAATCAGCTATGGAAATTAGTTGAAGGGGAAAACATTGCATGTAATGCACAGTAATGTGTTTATCAAATATTATGTGCATTTGAAATTCTAATAAATATATTGTTCATGTGCTGGCAGATCTAAAGTGTTTCAAAGAGGAAGAAGGAACAGGAGTAAGCCATTTTTGCTGCTTTCGGCTTCAGTTAAATTACTCTTGAAAAAAGTTAAAAAGTGCATAAATGGGCTAATCATGGAAAAATGTAATTCTCGCATTCAGTATTATATTTTACTACCTGATATTACACGTGTATGGGCTTATTGCCCTGAGTAGTGCACAGTTCTGGGAATACCGATTGAGGAGTGGCCAACCGGTGTGTTGGTTGTTTCTGTGATAATCTAGATTTGGAGTTTTCGTGACTGCAAGAATCCATACTCTTTGGTTCTTTCGGCAAAGTCACGTAGGTAGAAAATAAAATAAATTAAATCACGACATTTCGGGAGCAACACAAGCGTCCGTCATCAGGTGGGACAACCACAGCAAGAAACAATTGCTGAAGTGGGTAAAAGGGCTGCTGTTACAAGAGGCAATATAGGTAAGAGAGGGGGGAGAAGCCACGGAGGAGAGATATGATATTATACTCAATCTCCCCTCAACCACAACCTTTGCTGAGTCAAATGCCTGGAATAGTATAACAAAAAATTTGAGTTCCCACTTTTTGTCTCTGTTTAATTTTCAAAGGAACATTCAAATAAAATGAATAAACAAAACTCCACACACATTGTGGTATGCTAGGTTTGTGAAGTGTTGCAAGGTATCATCGGGTATATGAAATCTCTAACGTGGTTTTCCCTTACGTAACTTTCACCAGATATTCCAAGTAGGCTAAAATGATATATGGGAAATCATATCTCGTATGCCACAAGCTTTAAATACATATAATCTGGGAACAAAACAGCCCCATTCACTCATCCTCCACCCGGCTGTTTTATCTCAAAGTATGCATCAGCCACCGTAGAGGCAATGCAGAGATACAAGAAAGCTGGGAGGAAGAGCGCGCGTCTCTGATAACGAGTCACACAAGCAGCCTGCTCGCACGATAATGCAAAGAGGATAATGCCCGGGATAGCGCTGTCTAATGGTCCCATGCCTGGGCGATGGCGTCACTTGCGTCCCGTTTGCTCGGTGTCAGACGTGGAGTGCTCTTCAGTGCGTTTAAAAGGTGCACATCGAGTGCCCCTTGTTGTTGCCATTGCCAGAAAGAAAAAGAGCGCTACCGGAATTCATTCTATGTCCGAAAGGCACACTTTCGAAAATAAATAACTGGTATCTGCTTGGGGGTTTAGCATTGCTTACGATGACAATCTTGCATTATTTATTCTGCCATCTTGGTTTATATTATCATACCAGTGCCTCGTAACTCTGCCTGTTATTAACGACAAGTCTGCAAATGCACGCTGATACGTTTGGTTTTTTGTTGCAAAAAATATACACGTTGTAAATCTCATTCCCCGAGTCTGTTATGTATTCATTAAATATATATAGGGCTGCTAATATTTGATATGCTGCCAAGATTGGTGATAAAGCAATGCTTACGATAATACCTCTGTGGGCACAGAATATCGCTTTGAGTCTCAAAGCAACCATATTACAATGGATGATACTGCATCTATCCCTGCACCTCCGATTAGCACGGGTGGCTGGCTACGTACGGTGCGAAAGAGGTTCAACATATATATCTTTCACCCAACGAATGCTCTATATGTACGTTTTTATTGCAAAGTGAAGAAAAAATAGTCCATTCCACAAACTGATATTTTTCACCTGCAGAAACCATCGTAATTGACTAAAACAGGGCAGCACTGAGCCACTCGCAAGAGCCAAGGCAGAGTGTAGGCTGCTCCCCATGGACCATCCATCACATTTTGAGGGCACGCCGATCGCTTGGAGTAGCAGGCGGCCGCTTCATTAATATTTCATTATCCCTACCGATACTGGGGTCGCAAGCCTGGAGTTGTTATTCATAGCTTCTATCCCTGGCAGGGGTCCACGAAGGATCGCATTCGTAACTTTCGGCATTGCAGGCCAGTTTAAAACCCCTTGACAAAGGTGCCATCGTGGTGGCGTTAATGGCATTGAGGAGGTGGGGATATATAATGAAAGAGGGCTGGTGGTGGGGGTTAGAGGTAATGTTTTCTCTCATCTGCTTTGGCTGGTTGGAAAAATACCCCCCCCCCCCTCATTAAGGAATACTCGCTCTCCTTTCTAACCCTGTAGCGAGGCACCTTTCCCCAGAGATCGCTAACCAATTGAACCTTGTTCTCAATGCAATAGATGCCATCGTAAGTTCCCTCTCACAAACCCAATGTATAGCAGCACTGCAATCAACGGTGCTTCTAAACGAAGGCAGTTTCTCAATAAGAAAAAAACCCAACGTGCGTGGAGAACAGGTACCGTGTCCGGTAAAGTGTGGCTAATGACGTTTCCAATATTGTGCACCTTACAAAGAAAGGGCTTTGTGCAAAAAATGTACAATACATATGAATATATCATGCGTTCATTACATAAACATTAAAAACACAAAGTGTTATACAATATATTGGAAGTTTATTGTGAAAATAATGTTTAATATAAACAATAGAATTTTGATTTAAAGTTTTAGTGACTGCAGGGATTCATATGCTTGGTTCTTTCGGTAAAGTCACATAGAAGGAAAACAATAAAATAATAAAAATATAAAACAATCAAATTCTCACGACGTTTCGACTGCAAATTTGAAAAAACTGCCACTTTTTAAAAATTCTTGCTGTGGATTTCACACGTGATGATGATTGCGTGTGTTGCAGTCGAAACATCGTGAGAATTTTATTGTTTTATAGTTTTATGATTGTATTGTTTCCCTTCTACGTGACTTTACCGAAAGAACCAAGAATATGAATATAAACATTTGATTTTATTTTAACAAAATGCTCTTTAAAAAATTCATCCCACATCGATGATGTTTGCATGCTACTTAACAAACAATAATTCGTCTGATAGAGCAGCTCACTGATTTAATAAATGATTTAATAAATTACTTTTATCCGGAGCGAAGAGCAATATAAGATAGGTAAATTAATTTGGATGTAAAACCACTTTAAATCGAATATATTATATAAATGCTTATACAGAGCTAAACTAAAAAAAGGAAATTCTAGCGACACTTAAATCGTTAATTAAGTCATCTATTCAAGTCAAAACCACCCCAAAACTAAGAAGAAAAGAAACATTCCTCATATAATTACAACTGTATCATCGTTGCGAGGGCTAATCCTAAATCTTCGCCCAACAATTTCAGCTCAGCAGTGAAAAATTGCAGAATTGGTGTCCATGTGCCATGGGATTGTGAACACAATTATTGGTCATGCTGCTTACCGGGCACCTTGCCAAGGTAGATCACAGAGGCTGTGTAGTGCATCTGCAGAGCATGAAGCTGGTGCGTGGCTGCTGCGTAGTGATCCAGCTGGCTCCCAGCAAGACAAAATGAGTGATTAAAAGAAACAGAAATTGAGAAAATATTAAAAGTTTTTTTTAATGTTTGTATTTAAAAGGACGGATTTATAATTGAATGCAAATAGGAGCCCGTTACATTTTAAAAGTTTGGGATTTTCGGATAAAGCTGTAAGTATTCATCTTAATCACAGATAGCCAGAAATGTAATTGATACTTATAATGTCGCATATCCATAAAACTACCTACAATTCACTGTCTGTGCTACGTGAAGAACATGAATAACTTTGGCACTTGCTCATCCTCGGTTTTGTGCTCGATCCAAGTGGCATAGCTATCAGTGTGCAGGTGGTGCAGGCTGCACCAGGTTTCGCAGGCCAGAGGGCCGTGGGTGCCGGCCTATGAAGAGGAAGGAACATTTCACAGGCCCATGCCCAACCATGCTACACCAATGGCACTAGCACTAACATTTGCCATTTCTACATGTTATACGTGGGTTGCCCACCTGTGAGATAGGGACAAATTTGGGTCATATCATGGGAAGATGAATTTCTCACAGTATCCTGAACAAGTAAAAGCTAAATGTGACTGCATTGCCTGGAGTGGTGAATTATTACACAGCTGATGAAAACCAGGACTTTTAATGTCCTAGATAAACTTATAGATGTCCCAGGATAGCATTCTAAAATTGAGGGCTATCCTAGAAAAAGCAGGACAGGTGTAAACCCCATGTAACACCCACCTGCACAGAGATTTCCCGTCCATGCCGAGTTACATTCAGGCCGTGTGGCTGCCCATTGGCCAGGTTGCGTGGTTCCATATAGATGGCCTCTGTCTCTCCCCCCAGCTGGTAGCGGATCTGCAGTCTGCCTGCAAGCCAAACAGAAACAATGAAATGCACTCTCCACCAGTGCCGTTTCAGAGCTCCAGAATGATGAGGCAACCAAGTTCATCTCGGACTTACCAGCGTCAGGTGGTAATGCGTGTAGTTGGATTTAGAAACTGGGATAGAGACTCACATAGACGCCTATAGATTCCGATAGAGACTCGCAAAACTCACACGGAGATCCATGGACTTATATATAGTTCAATTTGGAAATCACATTTTGCTGACAGTGGCTTATTCATCCATGCTTTCTCGCGTAAAGACTCTCAGACTCAAATAGAAACCCATAGACTCAGATAATTGTAATGCGTGGCAGTGGCTTCATTATCAGTACTTTCTCCACCAGACGGATTGCATGCAGCTCATGTAGCTTTCTAGCAGAACTGGTCTAGTGCAAGCACTGGCACATTATCGGCACACGTTGCCTTTGTGTTTCATTTGTCAACGAGTCCACCTACACGCAAGTTATCACCAAACAATGAAAACTGGAGAGTGTGGACTTGTCGCCACCTCAACATGGTGTCACAAACTGTTCCTGCATGCCACCCACAGCTTCTGAACCAACGACGTTCTCAGGTGGAGTGATTCAAATGCTTTTTAAGGTAGCAGTGGAAGGTTTGTGGACATGGCTTGTCACAATGTTACGTAACACACAGCATTCTGAAATGTTTTTGTCATATCTAACCCTTCACTAACATACATCGATATATAATTGGGGCAATATTTCTAAAGTGGTGCTTGGCCATTGCTGCCATTGCAGAAATCATCAATGAGGCTTTAATTGTCAGGCCTAGGTTGAGTGAGTAACAAATAAAAAGCCACCACCATGGTCAGAGCCATTCCTGGCACTTGCCAACGCCACCTCCGCTCTGGCTCACCGTCCTCCTGCAGAAGCACGGCGAAGTACTCCCACGAGTCGGTGCCGACGTAGAGGAGGATCGCGGGCACGCTCGTGGTGCTGAAGCTCAGCAGCACCGTCTCCCCGGGCAAAGAGTCCTCCAAGGGGGGCTCCCTTATCGCCACAGCCACGGCCTCCTTCACGTAGGTCCCCGCGGACTTGCCGAGCGGTAGCATCACTCGCTCCTTCCACGGCTTGCTCTCGCGCGAAAGTGCAATGTTGCTCGGATCCCGCTTGGGAGTTGAAAACTCATTATCACCCTCCTCGTCGTCGTCATCATCTCCCAAAAGGTCGTATTGAATCCATGTTCCAAGCTCGAAAAAACCACCAACCTCTGAGGAGAAACACAAGCTTGGTATGGGAAGCACTAAGGGCTTCTCAGGTAATTAGAAAAATAAAATACACAACCACGGAGGGGAATATTAATACATTATTCTTCTTCAGCCATCAATTTCCAAGCACTTCGTTAAAGCATTTGTGTGTGTTCAGAATCATGTGGAGATTAGCTAAACTTAAACCTGCCTTCGCTAATAAGAATGAACTTCAACAGCATTCCAATTACCCTGTAAAGGACAAACCCCAACCTCACCCCTTATCAATCTTGTCTAACTCTGTATGACCATTACTATATCTCTTATGCTGCTTACAAAAAGCGAGCGCTTGTGAATGCCGGCACGGCACACAAGGCGGTGGGTAGCCAGTACCATGCTTGGCCCCCTTTGTCTCTTCAATACTGATGTTTACACACTGCACCAGGTACTCAATTGAGGCCGAGTCGACCCAGAGAGACACACACACATGTATGCGCACCATTTGTGCAGGAGGGTCCGTTGTAGGAAGATGTGGAGCAGTCGCACGAGTAGCCATTATACCGCTCGATGCAGCGGCCCCCGTTGCGACATAGTGAGCCGTAGCTGCGGCAGTGCCCCGAGCAGCCTGGCTTGACACCCGGCGTGACCCGTGCTCTCTCTTCCAGGTCCAGTGTTGCGCCGTTGATGCGCAGCGAGCGCACACAGCCCAGGAAGCCGCTGTGGCCGGACACGGAGGATCCTGGCGCAGTGATGGAGCGTGCGCGTGGGGCGAAGGGAGAAACGATGTCCATTCATCGCGTTGTTTGCGTGCTACAGTACGATTGTGTGATGTGAATTAGCAGGTGGTTTGATGAATTATCGCAAGTCAAGGGGTGGCGCGATTTGATTCAAAGATACATTTTTCTTTTAGTGTTGGGTTGAATTTAGCGGCCACTAGTAGCTGCAGGGGTCAACAGAACCCATTGCATAAACCAAACACGAATATAAAAAAAACATCGAATCTTACGTGTGCAGTTTGAGTTATGTATCAGGAGCAACGCGATCGATATTCATTGATCAATCAATGCATTATTACACCCTCAATGAGAATGTCACTATAACAAGCTTTATTGTTGTGTTCTAAGCTCGGCAACATAGACATAACCACATGTTTTACAAATTTAATAATTGCACACCAACAAGAATGATAAATCATCAACAAACAGTGACATTGAATTGAAATAGGCTAACTCAATGTTATTGCAGACTTTTATACCCACGACCCACTCAAATAATATGACAGCAAACATTTTAAAGCCCAAATTACTGCGACATCTTGTTCAAGTCCTGAAGCTGCAGCAGTGCATGCCAAATGCTTGGGAGAAGAAATGCAGCCTAATTTGGAAAACAACACTGTCAACTAAAAAACAAAAACATATTTTACCAGTTAAGGCCCACTAAGACAAATTTTTCAAAAGTGACCCTGGCCGCAAATGATAGCTCAAGAAAGTGGCTTATCAAGTGGAAATGTATAACAGCCAAAAACTTAAAATGCATGTTTCTAAATGTGGAGGGAGAACAGTCAAACTCCAAATATACAGGCATCAGGGTCGGGATCGAACCCACAACCTCCTGCATACGAGCCGAGGGAGTTAACATCTCTCCACCGTGGCACTCACTTGGATTGTGAGTGGCTGAAAAAAAACAACCTACAACGCTAAAATAGGACACTGCAGATTTTACTTCGGCATTGATCTAAAGCAGCAAGAAACGCATTGTGTGGTTGCGTGTTCCTACCGACGTAGAGCTGGCTGCTGAGCTGCAGGCTGGTGTGGCCCTGTGCGGGTGCAGGCACCAGCTCGCGGGGCAAGAGGTCCACGCGTAGGCTCGCCTCCTTGAGGCTCCGCTCGGCGCTTACCACGTGCCACTCCTCGTCGTTGAGCGGCTGCTCCGAACGCACGGCCATCTCCACTGGGCCATTGCCAACGTCGAAGCTGAAGCTCACTTCGTGCGGGGCTGCAGTATGTAATAATGTCATTGTAATTATAATTTATATAAATGCCCATGCCATCACTGCTTTTGATGTTTGAAGGAAGAAAAAGCAATGCATATCCAACTCCTATGGATCAAAACATATATACGTCCGTAGGTAGATTGTCCAAAATGCCGCTGTCAGACTTCTCCCTCATACCCATAAATGACCCACATAACTCCAGTACTTGCAATCGCATGGCCTGCACCTCAATTTTAAGTTTAAACTCGTAATTATCAAGATCCTTTATGGACCCATCCGTGCCGATCTCTCCCCTATAATCTCACTCTCTGCAATCTATGCTCCTACAATCAAGGCTTTCTATGGAAGCCACCAGTCAAGCTTTCATCAGGGAAAATGCATCCCTCATGGGCTGAAACGCTCTTCCTTAACCCCGCAGTTCCTGCTCTAGCAGTCTAGAACGCCTTCACCCCATGATCCGTGTTGTTAAACTTTCTCAAGTCCTATGGCCACCGTTTCTGCACAACGTCTTGCCATTCAGTCACGTTTCAACTCAATATAGATCCATGTTGTATTGTATGGCTGGTATGTGGTATATGGCAACTGGATCTGCTCAGCATGAGATGTTTCTACATACATTTTTGTTAGAGATTGAGGTTATATATGTACTGTATTTAATGAGCAGAATTCGTTTTTTCACTTATATAATAATGAACCATTTTAACACGTAGATTTCACGACCAATATTATCCATAATAGTTTTTTGGGTAACATCGCATAAATATAAATGTTAAGCCCGCCACCACCCAACACAGCCAATTAGTAAGGTAAGGTTTTTGTAAGGTTTGTCATGGAATGAAAGATTTTAATTCGTTACTAGTTCAGCACACCGGTTGTGTGTTGGAGAGTAAACCCACAACATTTACAATTCAAGCACGACTTTTCGCCGGTAATTCCAACCAGCCTCATCAGGCGACTGCCAGAGTTGTGGAGAAATCCTCCTGTTACAGTCTTAAAACCTCTATTATGGATAATGAACCACGTGGCACCGGGTGTCTCTGGTACATGTCTGTTCTCAGTTGCTGCGTACAATGAAATGACTTTGAGCAATTTCTGTGGAGTTAATTCAGAGCCTGTGATTGTTACAACATATTCCTTCAGGGTCTAATGAACAGACCTTTGATGTAATACATTTCACAGCATTTTCTGCATTTGTGCTTAAACGTGTGCTTTTATTCTTTTTAACTATCCCAATGTGAAAAGACAATTTCTGACTTGGGCATCTGTCTTCAAAATTACTGCTAACCAGTAGTGACAAAATGTTTTCTTAGTATAGTATAATTTTGTTATAATTTTGTTATGCTATGGTAATAAAAACACATTTCTCTAATTAAGCGGCTGAACTATTTTAATAAATGTAATTAAATGAATCACCCTAAATCTGGTATGGCATATAATGGGGTGTAGTGTTGAGTGCAACAGTAGGAGTGACCGACGTAAATATATATTTTTATCTAAATATCAGGAATTTATCTTTTGCATTGAACTATAAAAAAAATAGAGTTGACTCTTCAATTGAAATTGTGGCAACAGTTGTATTCTATAAGCACTCGCAATATCAGTAATGTGTTATATTTATACTGCCAATGTTTTACCCGTGGCCCACCAGCACTGGAAGGGGAGCAGAGTGAAGGCATATAACAATGGGAATTTAATGAATGATGGATAGGGAATTGAAAAATGGGAGCCAAGAGGACAGGAAAGATGACGATGGAAAAAGTAAAATAAAATAAAAATCACGACGTTTCGGAGGCAACACAAGCTTCCGTCTTCAGGTGGTACCGTCACAGCCACGACAGCTGTATCAAGTAAATGAGAGATTGCAGAAGCTACCACTCCGTTTATATAATGGTTGGAGAAGGTGGTGGGGCAAGGGCCGCATACTTTTATTAATATGGTAAGGTGAGGCTTGAGACTAAGAATAGACTGCATAACAAAGGCTGGGCTGAACAAAGGCTGAGCCTTTGTTATGGAGAGGTACGGTTTGTGACTCAACCTGTAACAGGGAGACCACCACTAGACATGGTAAAACTGTGATGGTTGTCTGTCAAATAAGATTGGCAAATAAGTGTAGTTAAATCTGTTTTCCATGGTTAATCACATCTTTCCAATGATTACTCAGGGTAGGAACAGGCTACATCGGGGCCTCACCGCAACACGGAGCAGTATCTGTTTTCACGGGGGACGGGGAGAGGGCAAGGGTTCAGTGGGGTTGGCCACACAGAAGTCGTGTGATTTATTTATATAAATGCCATTATGTAATGGTTAAAATATAATTTGACAGCTTAATAAGAAACATTTATTTTGTCGTCGTTTAATATTTTGATGAGTGCTAATTTGTGAAAAGTTAGAAAATAATACACTAACATGAAATTATAATGAGCAATAGGTAAGTAACAGTGCATTGATTTAATGTTTAAAATGAATTCGTACACGAATTGCATGAATAAGAATTGCATAATTTTTCAATTGTATTTATTTATGAATGTTACATTTATTTTTTTACATGTCGACCTCCTGTAGCCACTAGAGGCAATATATTCACGATAATCTTAAATATATATATATATAACTTCTAAATTGTGACCTGGAATGGTGAAAATCGGTCCCCTCCTTAAATGCCAGCTCATCACACTGTCGATCATTCATAATCATGTCCAAGTGTGCAGCGGTAGTTTAGCAGTTAACGTGCTGCACTACGAACCCGGCAACCCAAGTTCGATTCCCGCTCACGGCCAACATCAGTTAACGACTATCTGAACCGGTCCTGAGCCTCTCCTTGATCGACTCAGCCTCAAATGAGTACCTGGTGCAGTGTGTAAACATCGCCACTGGGGAGACAAAGGCGGTCGGGCGTGGTGCTGTCCACCCACCCCCTCAGTGCTTACTAACAGCACTTGCCCCAACAGTCTGTTAAGGCTATACGGGGGATCTTTGTCATTTGTGTGCACGCATGAATCTGCAAATCGGAAACTCACACTTGAGCTGCACACGAATGAAGTCGCTCGCCCCCATGTTCTCAAGGATCACGCCGGAGTCAGTCGTCGTCTTGAAAAAGAACGCGATGTCCAGGCTGGTCTCGGCTCGAATTGGTGGGAAATGCAGGTAGGAACTTGGCGTCGTGAACAGCACTGAATTCCAGAAGTGTCCTGAGGTGTCCATACACAGGTGGCACAAAAGTATAATGTTATATCTTGATTTGAAGCTTTCGTGACTGTAGGAATCCATACTCTTTGTTTCTTTCGGTAAAGTCACGTAGGTATTTTATTTTATACCTACGTGACTTTACCGAAAGAACCAAAGAGTATAATGGTATACTGTATGTTTGCTCGTAATACCAATGCCCATGAGCCATGGTCACGTACGTAATTTAAAACACATTTTAAAAATAAATTGAACTGCTGTTGTACCTTGAAAAGTGCTGCATTTTCAGATATTATTATTTTTCACATCTAAAGCAAAATATTTTCCAGTTGATCATTTTATTTTAAAGCTATTTTACCCATCGTGTGAGTTGTCTGATCATCTTGGCCAAAAAGCGATTAATATAGGGGGTTGTATCTCTCCACTTGACAAGACCTATGGCTAAAGAGGCCATGTGATTATAGTCTCTGAATGACACTCAGAGGCTATAATCACAACATTTAAATGAGGCCCTGTTGGCAGTCCCCATTTGACCCCAAAAACCCATTTTTACATTCCTTGTGCATGCACAAGTCAACAACATTCAGAAACGAGTGTAGTATTATATATGCTTGTTTAATTTGTCATATAGGTTATACTAATCCATCCCTTTCCTTCATACTTTTCTGTGTCACAGTCCTCTGGTGAACTGTAGGATTAAAAACATTCTGTGGCAGTTGGGACTTCGACTTAATATCTAAACAATAATAGGTCAGGAAGGATCTTCCCAAGAAGACATTTCTCCAACTGTTGTAATTTCATCTCCAGACGTTTTGGCTGTCAAAATGTCTGGCGATGACATTACTATGGTTGGAGAAGCATCTTTTCGTGAGATCTTTCCTGACCTATAATTTTTTTTAGATATTATGTACTGTACGAGTAGCACTCTGTAAGCCTTAGAAAACTCGTGCACAATACAAGTAGAACTCCGTTCTGTTTCCAGACCAAAATTATTCAGCAGCATTTATTGTTTCAGCAAGTGAACTACTCTGCAGTTGAGATCCATCACTCGAGGTACCTTGGTATTTTTAGGCTATTGTGTACAAAGACGTAATTATACCATACATTTGGTAAACATTTTATTGAATACACGTCACGTATCAATATATCAAGAGGTCGAGCTTCACATGATAATTTTGTGAATATGGCAAACTGGTAGAAGATTACACTCGTATTTTGTTTTATATTCTTGTACAGTGTGCAAGAGACAGCATGATAACACACCATCGACAAACACAGTTCGGCCACAATGACAAATACACTTTGTATTTGGAAACTATTCAACACATCGTCTTTCTTTTAAATCCTACAGGAGGAGCCCTGAAGCTAAAGTACTTTTTTCCCCATATTACGTACTTTGAAATAGATATTCTGTTTGTGTTCCAAAGCTTTGACACAATGGATTAGGCGCAAAGGGGGTAAGGGGAGTCGAGATGTGAATACGAGATAGGAGTCTATCGGAGACAACCAGGTTTCCTTGACAAACGGGCCCTTGCAAGCCAAGTGCCGAAAAACGCCAGAGCGTGGTCAGGGATAAGAGGAACAGGATGCAGAGTGACCGTCTCTCCAGGCGAGCAGGCGGACCGCCGAGCTCAATGAGGATGCGCAACAGCGTCTTCCCCAGGGTGGGATACAATGTTTGTGCTCATCCCCAACTCTCACTGCCCACGCAATCCTCAAAAGCACACACACGCCACCGCTGCTGCTACGTGGGCCGCGGCGCGCTTGTGTAATCATTTAATCACTACGAGTGCAATTATTTATTTTCTGTAATTATTTGGTTATTCCCCGCGTTTTAACATTAGAGCTGAGAATGGTCTGTAAGCTGTTCTTGGTTAATTGGCAACAATTGGCTGGAATTGTGCGCACACCCACACTTGTACGAACGGATGCATGTACAGCGTCTAATGCTGTACAGCAGTGTTCTTCACTAATTTTCAATAGGACATCGGTGTGAACGCCGCCGCACATTTGAAACCATTGGGTTTGACAGAACTGGGGGCCGCACTAAAGGCCACCAGGGTGCCGCCAGTGGCCCTTGAGACTTGCAAAGAAGAGCACTGCTGTGCAGTATTTATCACTGTGCAGAACAAATATAATAATATTGTACACAAATAGCTTTATGTAAGCACAGCTGCGATATAAGCAACATATCGTTACATTATACTGGCGGTGGGATGACAAAGGCCACATTTGGATACAGGCACACTTCGGATATAGGCACACATGGACTTACACTCACGTACTGACAAACAACTATTACTGATTTGCTCCCCAATGTCGTTGCATGCAGCTGTAACTGTTCTAGGATGGAACCTATAATAAACATGGAACTCTCCATGAACATAGACATCTACTCCTCACGTCTGTTCCTTCCATCCTCGAGATTTTCCACCACCTCTGCCGGAGTGATATTAATGTTGACCCCTTTGATGCATCCGACAGAGCTAAAGAAAAAATATGACTTCAAATCCACCTAGTGTGGGGTCACAATGCTGTGCCGCGTTGGATGTAATTAATGTGTGCAGGTTTGTTGTTTGGCGTCAAGAAGACAATATTCGTTCCACGTCATCTAAAAAACACTAATCCGAGGTGGCAGCATCAGCAAGCTCATATAGTACTGGACAGTAAAATATATCCCTGTGCTGTGACTGTGACAGCAAGCTTTTTCAGTAGTTTCCATGTGATGGTGTCTTTAAAACACATTCCCTTGATACCATCTGAGGTTGTTTAGTGAACAAATTTGAACCAGTTGTCCTTTTGATGCCCACGGAGATAGAGGTATTCTTAACAACCTGCAGATACGTTAACAAACATAACATAGACTAAGGTCTAACCTGGGGTGCACACACGCCCTGGGAGTAGTGTGAGATGCCATTTTTGTGGATGCGAGACATCCCAGATTTTTTGAGAAGGTAAATCATCAAAACACAAATTAAGCAAAGGCACGTTAGTACAACTACTTTGTTTCATCAAACCTATGTATTTATTGCCATTGTACATTTTTATTTTTTACGATTGAGAACCAAACGGGTGCAAGGCTGCAGTAAAGGTGAAGAACCACTGTATTAAGGCCAAAAATTTGGCAAGTATCATGATCGACCATTCGCCTCCCAAGTGCTCATGTTTATATACTGCACCGGGTACTCATTCAAGGCAGAGTCGACCAAGGGGAGGCCTAGGTCCAATTCAGGTGTCACTCATCACTGATTTTAGCCATGACCGGGAATCAGACTTTCCTTGTCAGGTTCACAAAACTGCTTCCTCGCCGCTCCAACACTGCTGCCCCCATAATGAGGCTTGTGTTACGGGATTTTTTTTTTACATACGTACAAATTGTACAGTTGCTTACTGCTCATTTCATAATGATGCTTTTCGTGATTCTTTACTAGAATGGCGCCAAGGTTGGATTTGAATGAGAACACTCTTGGATCAAGGGCAATGGTACTCCCCAATAGATCACCTGGTTACCCATTCGAGATACTTTAAGCACATTGCACTTGACACCACGGGGCGCCTTTAACATGGATTTATCAGCAACGCTGTGTAAATGGTATGTTAAGCAGCGATTCATAACACATTCATACAGAACCCACTTTAAGGCAGGCATTATAAATCTAATCATGTTGAATTATCAGCAATTATCTGCCGAAAAAAATGCATCTTAAACACCACATTTGCAGTAGCTGGTCACTTATCAGCATGAAAAACACTGCATGGCCACGTAAAAAAATAAAAAGAGACTGTATTAGAACTGTAACTGTCAGACGTAAAATGTGTACACTGCAGATATCTTTACTACCGTAGAGGTCAAGACACGTGTCTTTTATGATGCTTTATGTCAGCCTGCTGTTAAATGTACATCATTATGTATACCGCAATCTACCGAGCTTCATGTAGATACTTGCAAAAAAATTACCTGCAAAACAAATGGGGAGTTACTTCGTGGAGTACGTACAGTATTTGTTTTACTCAAATGGCATGTGTAGCCTTTGCTCTCTTCATAAAAGATGTTCCCTACATCGCCAGTTTTAAACAGGCAATTCAAATCAAACAAAGTCTTCCACGACTACTCGTGAGTGCCAGAGATCGAACGGAGAGCAGCGGTGCTCCATCAAAATCTAAATCCCGCATTCTCCACGTGTTGCCAGGAGGATTACAGAGCTTCCATTAAAACAACGTGGTCCTCTCTCTCTAATTTGTAAGCAAAAGCAGTTGCTCTATGAGACACCTCCTTTACCAGTGGCAAAATATAGTAGTAGGTTTTTACCCTTTAAACTGGTACAAAACTGACACCTTTATACAAGGCATCATGTTTGCAATAACCACAACACAAGCAGTCAAAATGCAAACAAAAAGAAACAACTCTGATAATGGTAATGATATGCACTGTCCTTTATCAGAGTTGTTTATTTTTGTTTGCATTTTGACTGCTTGTGTTGTGGTTATTGCAAACATGATGCCTTGTATAAAGGTGTCAGTTTTGTACCAGTTTAAAGGGTAAAAACCTATTACTATATTTTGCCACTGGTAAAGGAGGTCTCATAGTGTAAATGCTTACCCCGAGCTCTCAATACTCTGATAGTGCGCTGTTTTTTTTAGTTGTACGCCTTTTGGCGTCATCTGGTCCAACACCAATGGAGACTAGGCTCTAAGGAAAGCTGTCTCGGGTGTGGCCCAATCAACTTCAAGGACAGTGCATATCATTACCATTATCAGAGTTGTTTCTTTTTGTTTGCATTTTGACTGCTTGTGTTGTGGTTATTGCAAACATGATGCCTTGTATAAAGGTGTCAGTTTTGTACCAGTTTAAAGGGTAAAAACCTAAAAGCAGTTGCTGTCTGCCTTCTCCGCAGTGGTGGCTTTGCGCTGTGCTGCGCCGTGCGCCGTGTGCCATGTGCCCGTGCGTCGGCTCTGCTGCTGCTTACTATCGCCGTGGCAGGAGAGGGGTCCCACTCTGTAGGCAGCCTCTGAGAGAGCTCGATCAGTGTCCCCGATGAGTAGCTGCATCACAGGCAAATGCGGTTTGTAGCCCAGCAAACCCGAGTCCTCCTTCCTGGAGTGCAGCGACATTTGGGGAAACAATGGGGAGGTTGGAAGCAATGGTTAGGTAGAGTTAAAAAGAAAAAAAGAGCGATGGTGTTTGTGAAAAAATCTCGACAATTATTTAAAAATAAAATTGATAAAATTAAATAAAAATAAGAAAAAAAATACAATTTAAATAAATAATAAATATTGCAAAACCCCACGACGTTTCGATCGCAACACGAGCGTTTCTTCATCAGGCAGAGAGAAAGAGTTCCACAAAATTAAAACATTTGAACCTTGCTCTCCGGTGTGTTTTCGGATTGTGCCCGCATATTGTTCGGCAAAATGTCCGACGAATCGCTCCACATGCTTCTTCAGGAACTGAGTTTGGCAAATCGTCAGACAATACGTCGAACAGCACGGAGTCCAATCCGAAAACACATCGGTAAAGTGTGCAGCACAACCATTACATCTATGCAGGAGCATTTTTATGTTACAAAAATTACGTTAATTTGTATGAGCTTCAAACATAACTTTTAGTTTGACCTGAAAATATGTTCATTGATGAGCTATATACAGATGAGTGAACATGACATATCGGGGTTTTGTGCATCGCATCCAGCTCATGTAGTCATAATTAATGACAACTTTACACCTTGTGCTGCAGGCTATTTGTGGAAATACATAAAAGATGTATTTTTTGCAATTAAAGCGCACGACAATGTCACTGGTTGTCCTTCGGTTTTTTTATTGTACCGTAGTTGTTTGACATTTACAGCTTTATATACTTGTGAACATCAATCACGCAGTGTATGTGTCAACGACACTTTTAACGCCTATTATTAGCAAACTGCTGCAACACATTACCTTTTTTCTTCAACACCACAGACAGTCACAGCTCTTCATCTCTTACGTATCGCAATGTCTAATGTCACGATAACCCACGTCACTTGTCTGACATTTGTAGACGAAGAGCTGGCTGTCTGCCCTCAGGCTGTTAAACTTGTTGGTTTGAAATCCAGCAAAATTGTCGGTTGCAACTTTAAAATTGATGCAGCGAATAATGCCACGGCACGTCGTGCCAATGCACTCGAAAATCCACGCCAGAGCAAGCCCATGCATTTGATCTCACACATTGAAAGAGTATACATTTTATTGTAATAAAATACTTTTTTTCAGTGGCAATTTTGAAGGATTATTTGTCAAACAAGTATTTATTTAGGGTACATTTGCTTGACGTGCAGAGCCCCTTTCTTCTAACATGTAGACTTCATCGAGCGCGTTGTAGTAGTTTAATATTTGGTTCGTCGACGGTTAATGGACAGGGTCAATTCCAATTAAAAACAGGCCATGTGTCTTCTTAGTTCTTTCGGTAAAGTCAGGTAGAAGGGAAATAATAAAATAATAAAAATAAACATAATAAAATTCATAATTTGTCATTTTATTACTTTTATTCTACAAGACTTTACCGAAAGAACCAAGAAGATGAATCCATGCAGTCACGAAAGCTTTAAATCGAAATCTAGGCCATTGAGTCGTTATGTGCAATTTGACCAATCGTTTTCAAGTCGCTAAGTAACTTCATCTCTACGTTTCCCTGATTTTGAAAGTTTTTTTTTTCTTTACTCAAATCCTCTTTTAAAGTGAATTAACAACTCAATAACCAAATGAACTCATTAAGTGGCCCTACTGTGTGCATGTATTACATATGACGTGTAATACATGCGCACGTTTGTTAATTGTGGTTTATTTTTATTCAGATGTATAGCTAAAACTAAAATATTTAAATACTCCAGTATTGTACACAAATACCAAACTACATGTTTAGTTGTTTATTCAAGCTCTACTGATGGGAAGTCACCATCTGGAGTTGCTATCAAGATTGAGACTGGCATCGAAATTGAATACATATTTTAATGGTTGATTAAAGTAATAAATCTGGATTCTTTAGTTTAGCAAGACACCAAGTACTCGAATGTCTCAACACTCTCATGGCAATGCATCTGGCAATTGACCCGTTGAGAAGAGCGAGCTCACTTTCCCATTGTCTGCAGCTGCAAGCAGATCACCTCTTCGTGCATGCACGCGTGCGTGTGTGTGCATGTGCCAACTAGGACTTGACCTGGTCAAGGACTATGATACCATCATAAGGCCAGGGCGAAGGGTTGTTCACGCTCACAAAAACAAGCAGAGTGCGGGGCAGCTAAAACACAGCAAGTTGGTTTGGTAGGGGGCAGAGGTGGTGCATCTGCCAGCCATCTCAGTAAGTCAAAACGTGGCACCCGAGTCTGTCCGGTGACCTCTTGCCAGCGAGCCTTCGACACTTCATGTGGACTTAAGGTGCACATAGTCTGACACAAGCGCCGTTAGTGGAAAAAATGGAAGTTGTTGCCAACTATGCCCATTCGTACCACTGATATCACGGACAGTGCACAAATAATCTGTTCAACTGTTCATCTCATTGTCTGCGTGCACACATGGACAGTGAGGCTCAAGCTAACAATGAATATTGAATGTTTTCACTTTCAGAACTGAAGCCTTTTTAAAATAAACAAATACTTTGTTGCGTCAGATATGTTAGTGAGAATTTATTTTGCAAGTGCCCATTAAAATTACATTTATTTGTCTGAATGTGATAAATATGGCACGTTTCAAATGTACATACTTATTTTTCTGGACTCTACAAGGAAAATACATCTATATATATAAAATCGTTCATGTCTGTCTGTCTGTGTGTGTGTGTGTGGACTTTGGCCCATACGCACTTTCATTGGACGGCGGTTGCCCCTGGCAACGGCTAGCCACGCCTTCGCCGCTTTCATTGGACCTGGCAACGGCTAGCCACGCCTTCGCCAAGGGCTGCAGTTTCATTGGACGGCGGTTGCCCCTGCCAACGGCTAGCCACGCCTTCGCCACTTTCATAAGCTCCGTATTTAATTAAATAATAGCCATTACACAGTATTGTTGGAGCGCTAGGGGGGGGGGAAGGAACGCCACCCGTACCCTGCCTCTTCCAAGCCGACAATTTTAGGCGAGGCCGCAGGCTTTGCACGCTACTAGGCCTCGACACCCACCACGCCACTCTGAGGTAAATTCATCAAAGTTTTTCCTACTCTTCACTACACCCCCACCACAATGTGTGCTATTAATATTACTTTTAAACCCAACGCGCCAACAATCAATTACTTTAATGTTCACTGTACAAATACTCATTAAGCTGGGTGAGCGTACTGCCAGTCTATCATGTACACTGTAGCCTGCTTATTAAGCTCGGTGAGCGTACTGCCACTCTATCATGTACACTCTAGCCTGCTTATGAAGCTGACTGCGTGTACTGGCAGTCTAGAATGTGGACTCTTGCCTGGTTATTCTAATCGATTCTTTATATGTTCTTTGTACAAACAGTCATTAAGCTGCTTGAGCGACCCCAGTTCGATTCCAACTCACGCCCACCACCGCTGACGATTATTTGAAACGGACCTGGCCCTCCCCTAGGTCCACTCAGCCTCAAAAGCGTAACTGCTGTCGTGTGTGAACATCGTCACTGGGGAGACAAAGGCGGCGGGGCATCGTGGATCCAAGTCCCGGGCGAAGCCGGGTCATGTGTATGTGTGTTTGTGTTTATGTGTATGTCTGTGTGTCTCTATGTATGTGTGTATGTATGTGTATGTATGTGTTTGTGTGTATGTGTGTGTGTATGTATGTGGGTTTTTTTTATGTCTTTATGTGTATGTCTGCGTGTCTCTATGTATGTGTGTATGTACGTGTGTGCATGTGTTTGTGTGTATGTATGTGTGTGTCTATGTATGTGTGTGTCTATGTATGTGTGTGTATGTGTGTGTATGTATGTGTGTTATGTGTCTGTCTGTGTCTGCATGTATGTGTGTGTGTATTGTGTATGTGTTTGTGTGCATGTATGTGTGTGTTTGTGTGTATGTGTATGTCTGTGTGTATGTGTTTGTGTGTATGTGTGTGTTTGTATGTGTGTGTATGTGTTTGTATGTGTTTGTGTGTTTACGCTCGCATTACACAAATGTGTTGCTGGTCTAAGGCGTTCCTCGCACAGCATTGCCGCTTTATTATTTCAGTCGTTTACTGCCTTACGCACCCTGAAAGTCGTGTGTGTCTGCAGCAAGCGCGTGTATGTGTACCTATGGACGCGCGCGCGTGTGTTGTGTAGGGGGAACGGTAGTGTAGTGCTTAGCGTGCTGTCTGTGTCTGTGTGTGTGTGTGTCTGTCTGTGTCTGTCTGTGTGTGTCTGCGTGTGTCTGTGTGTGTGTCTGTGTGTGTGCGTGTGTGGTGTGTGGGGAGCGGTAGTGTAGTGCTTAGCGTGCTGTCTGTGTGTGTGTGTGTCTGTCTGTGTCTGTCTGTGTGTGTCTGCGTGTGTCTGTGTCTGTGCGTGTGTGGTGTGTGAGGAGCGGTGGGTGTAGTGCTTAACGCTACGCTGCGCTACCAACCCGGCGAACCCAGTTCCATACCCGCTCACGGCCACCACCGGTGACGATTATTTGAACCTCCCCTAGGTCCACTCAGCCTCAAACGAGTAACTGGTGTGGCGTATTAACATCGGCACTTGGGAGACAAAGGCGGCTGGGCGTGGTAGATCCAAGTCCCGGGCGAAGCCGGGTCATGTGTATGTGTTTATGTGTATGTCTGTGTGTCTGTATGCATGTGTGTATGTATGTGTGTGTATGTGTTTGTGTGTATGTCTGTGTGTGTATGTATGTCGGTTTTGCCGCCGTGGTGGATCCAAGTCCCGGGCGAAGCCGGGTCATGTGTATGTGTTTATGTGTATGTCTGTGTGTCTGTATGCATGTGTGTATGTATGTGTGTGTATGTGTTTGTGTGTATGTCTGTGTGTGTATGTATGTCGGTTTTGCCGCCGTGGTGGATCCAAGTCCCGGGCGAAGCCGGGTCATGTGTATGTGTGTATGTGTTTATGTGTATGTCTGTGTGTCTGTATGCATGTGTGTATGTATGTGTGTGCATGTGTTTGTGTGTATGTATGTGTGTGTGTATGTATGTGGG